CTAGAGCAGCGGTTCTCAATCTGGGGGCCGAATGACCCTTTCATAGGGGTCGCTCGATTCATAACAGTAGCAAAATTACAGTTATAAAGTAGCAACGAAAATAATTTTATGGTTGTGGGGTCACCACAACATGAGGAACTGTATTAAAGGGTCATGGCAATAGGAAGATTGAGAACCACTGCTTTAAAACTTATTTCTTAATTATGGTTAATTTGACCAGCCAGATTTTTGACTCCTAATAAGTGACTTAGCTTTTCTCTCCATATATTCCATACTTAAATATGATGTTACCACTGTTTCTATTATTTATAAGGTTATTAGAATAGTATCAAATAAAATCTAAGAATTGGAGATTTCTAAGTTAGGAATGTTCGTCCCTACCTTTTCACCAGCAACAACACAGAGAGATTCAGTGTCTATACACTTGGAATTTCTTAGACATCTTTCCAAGAGTCGGTTCAGCTTCACCAAGAGATCTGACTGCCTATGAAAACAGAAATGAACTTACACCAAGAACACCAGGCTTTAAAACAAGAACTCACTGCTGTTAGGTTCTCCACAAGATAAATCATTTTAAGAAAAAGTTTTAAATACCTGCTAGGTTCAAAAGCTGGGGCAGCCATCTGAGATAGCTCAAGGTTAAAAAAAAGAATACCTTCTGTTGCCCTATTAAGTTTTGGAGAAACAAGTTCACATGACACTTGTCCAAGAACTCTGAAAAGTGAAAGAATACAAAAGTGTTAAATAAGCATATTTTATTTCCAATTAAAATAAGGAATGAAATCTAAAACACATTATCAATTGCATGTCAGTCTCATCTGAGTATTAATGTGCTTGCTTTGGTAGGTCACAAAAAGTGAAAATTACTTATCAATAAAATATATGTAAGAATAAAGTACATATTGGTAATACCCAAGTGCTAGCAACAAGAATCCTTCCTCCCAAACCAACTTCTTATAATAGATTTGCCTCCTAAAATTTTAAAACAGATTTCACCTTTCCCCTTTTAGTTTATTGGACCCAAGATTGCATAAAAATTTCTTTCCTAAGATTTTTTTATATGGCATAGTTTGTTACTATTATCTGACCAAATATAATCACTTCATAAAACCTAATTCTCATGTCATGCAAGAAAGAGGACTAGATGCTCAGAATCTCTACATTCCTCACATTACAATGTGAAACAGGTGGCCCGGCCACAGCAGTGCTTGAAGAACACAGCCAGTAACTGCTGACTGTCTACAGAATTCACACAGGCCAGAAAGAGCATTGAAAATCACATGGAAGAAAAAAATTTTATTAAAAAATTAATAATTTTTTTTATTTATAATATAACACGAAAAATCTTGTGTTAAAAGAAAACAGTTGCTCTTGATACAATGGAGGTATGGAATGTTATATGGGCTGTAAGAGCCCCCAATAAAAAGATTTATTTAAAAAAGTTACTTTTGGCATCTAATAATGTACTGTATAGATGTCTCAGCTATTCTCTAACCAACTGAGTCAAGGGTCTTTATAAACTGCTTTCATTGAACTTACGCCCAGAGTGAATTATTTTATACCTTGTTTTTCCAAGTTCCACAATACAACAGCCATAATCTGTTCCAAATGAGATTCGGATGCTCCTATAATCATAGGTTTGTCTGCCATCCAGCCGCTGTAAACACATTCATTCATTTATTCTTTCAAAACAATTTTCTGGATAACTGCTACATGCCAAGAGTTGGGATAGTGGTGCAGTCTGCTACCATTGCTCTGGGCTGCTAAATGCAAGGTCAACAGTTGGGACTCCACCAACCGTCCTCTGGAGAAAGGGGAGGCTTTCTACCCCCTCACGAAGTTACAATCCCAGAAATTCACGGGGGCAGTGCTGCCCTCTCCTAGGGGATCGCCATGAGTCGTATTTGCTTCCCACTTCCCCCCTCCCGCCCCCCTCCAATAATGCAATCACATAAAGAAAGCTGTAAAATCATCACCACAGTTTTAGAACGTTTTCTTCATTGGCTCCCCATCTGCCCCCAACCTCCTTGTCACACATCCGCGGAACTATTACTCTAGTTGTCTCTATATTTACCTATCCTGGATTCCACATACAGAAAAACACTGAGAAACAAGCAAACAAATATGAAGACCCTAGGTAACATGCACTCGAGAGTAAACTGTTGCTGATACAACTGGGTTAAATTTTTGTACGCTATCATTTGATCTCGCTTATGATCCATTTAAATTTGTTCTAGTTTTTAAATACTTTCTGCTTTCTTTTTGATTGAGGTTTTTATCCGTGTTTGGTTTGTGGTTTGTGGCTCGCCTTAAGAAGCCGAAGAGACAGTGGGTTATCAGAATCGGGCCGCTCTCCGCGAGGTCGGCAGTTCAAATTCAGGAGCTGTTCTCTGGGAGAAAAACGAGTTGGTCTCGTTTTTGGTTTTAAGTCTCAAAATCCTAGTGAGCTGGAATTGACAATAGTGGGTTTTGCATTTGGACGAAAATAGGTCCCAGACTTCTCCACCTCTGCGGGAGAGTGGAAATTAGGCGCCATGGCAACGGCAGTCTGGGGTGGCACGCGTCTAGCCAAAAACGGAACTGGACTGTGGGGGTGGGGAGCACGGAGGATGCCCCAGCCCCAAGGGGCCCAGGGCCAGGGCCCGCCGGTTCGGGCGTGCGGGCAGGAGGCCGGCGCGGCGCCCAGGCAGCACGCAGCTTCGCGGGCGGCGGGGCTCTGACCTTCTTCTCCTCGATGGCGCGGAGCAGGAAGCGGCGCTCGCAGTTGGAGAGCGGCGTCTCCTTCATGGTGGCAGCCCGCGGCCACACGGGCGTGAGACCCCGGCAGAAGTGGAAGCGGCGCCCGGTCTCACGCGCACCGCACGCTCTGCCGCGCGGAGAGTTGACGTCATCAGCGCGCGACCGCCACCCGGAAACAGCCAACCGGAGCCGGCGCTGTGCGCACGCTCCAGAGAAGGGCGGGCGCCGTGGGCTCGCGGCGTGGAGGGGACGTGGAGACGCAGGTGTTTTCGGAGCAAGCTGCCTTTTTAATTTTTTTTTTTTTGCTTCTTGTACGGAAAATTTTAGAGAGGAAGGAGGTCACAAACAGCAAGCAGCGGCAGTTGCTGTTAGGTGCCTGGAGAAGGTTCTGACTCAGAGCGAACCCGTGCACAACGGAACAGCTATTTATTTACCCGGTCGAAATCTTGCCTGGTCCTGCGGCATCCTCACAATAGCCAAGTTTGAGCCCGTTGTGGCGGCCAGTGTCATTCCGACTCTTGGAAGGCCTTCCTCTTTATGACTGATGTCTCCGGATAACGTGGCTAACGTATGCCAGAGAAGTCTTCTAGCTTCTAAGCTTCTAAGCCGCATTCTGACTCTTCCGAGACAGCTTTGTTTGCCCACTGGCAGTTTCCCTCTTTTTCACCAATACCATAATTCAAATGCAACAATTCTGCAGGCTTCCTTAGGCATTGCCTAGTTCCACAAATCATGTGAGGAGATTAAAAAGACTACTGTTTGGCAGGGTCACTTGAGTCTTCAACGTGACATCCTTGCTCTTGTGCAGCAGGTTTGCTGAATGCAATACATTTAATTTGACTGCTGCTGTGAACTGTGGATTCGAGTAAAAGGAAATTATTGACAGCTTCAATCTTTTAGTTCTCCTGATGTTGTCTATCCAGTCCGGAGGATTTTTCGTTTCTTTAAATTGAGTTGCAATCCATACTACAAAGTAAGTGCTTCAGATCGCCTGGTGCTATTAAATACTAATAGTGCTTTCACAATTTGCCCTTTCTTCAGTTCCAGCGGGATATGCTAAACGACCGGAATTTTGCAGATGAGAAAGATGCGATTTGCCTACTTCACAGCAGCTGAGGCAGAGTTTGCATCCAGATCCAAGGAGAATTTATCAGAGTCACAAGGGCAGGAGGAAAAAAAGAGGAACTGATACCAAGGGCTCAGAAAGAAATCGTTTTGAAAATGATGATGGCAACATATGTACAAATGTGCTTGCTACAATTGACGTATGGATTGTTCTAAGAGCTGTAAGAGCCCCGAATGAAATGATTTACAAGTAAACAAGTTTCCATATCAAAAAAAGAAAGAAACACAAACAAGAGGACATGGGTTTAGAATAATGTACCGTATTAAAATACCATCATCCAGCATGAACCTAAACTTAGTGCTTGTTGGGAGTTAGCCTAACTCTCCATGTTTGCCTTGTTCCTGACCCCAGCCTCTATTGAATTTCTGTAACTTTCTGTATTAATCAAAGACATATCTGTGGTGTGGAATTGTCTGGGTAATTTGGTCCAGAGGGCCACCTGGACAACTCTCCTGGAAGATCATTAAGACACTGAAGGAGATTTCATTTGCATCACAAGCAATTATTCTTAATGTTTTACTTGATTGTTATGGTCTACATCTACGTTTGGTGAATATCTTCTGATTTGAATAACAAAAAGATACTTGGAAGAGTACATAACTCCCCCACTGTGCACATTCCAGTGTAAAAGTGTACAAACTCTATGTATTCTGATCCCCTGCTGGTCTCACCTTCTAATAAAACTTTTTGTTTCTCTCTAACTTAGAGTTAGTGAATTTGGCTGCACAAATTCATGGGCATTGATTATGGATCCAAGTACCAGGGCGTAAACCCTTACTAGGGATAACAGAATCAGCACCTAATGTGGCCCTCAAGAGACTAGCCCTGGTTTGGTCATCCCATAAGTGGGCTCCAAATGGTGGATCTGCTCTAGCCACAGGCAAGAATCTCCAACAGCCTTACTATCAGGCAGAGCCCATTGTAATCTTGATTATGTGAGATTGAACTCCACACATGGCCAGTGGACCTCCCTATAAATGCGACATGATTTGTTCTGGATGCAAGTATCTCTTACTTGTTCCATGACAGAAATTTCTTGCCTGGCTTTTTGAATCAACACGGGGGTCTTTTCCTTCTTACGCACTTTGTATTTTTGTCTTTATACTATTATGATTTTATCCTTACCACCTTAATATGATTTTGTTTTTTATTGTTTTCTGTTGCATCTCCTAGCTGTGAAACACAGGAAGACCGGATGCATAATGATAATAGCTGATACAAGGGGATAGAGGGAACATGGGGGTGGGGGTGGGTGGGAGGGGGAATTAGAAGGGGAAGTGTGGTAGTCATATAATCTCTTGTCAATTTGAGTATTAAGAATTAAGGGGTGGAATTTAGCCTATCAATCAGGTCCCAGCTTGATGACCTCATCTGGAGGCGCTAAGGAAATAAATAATTCTCTGGAGGAGGGACACATGCTCACTCCCAGTGAGACATTCCTGTGGACAAGACACATGGAGCTATGCTAGAGCCCTGGAACTGAAGGAGCCATGTGGAGCTCCCTGCCAGCGCTGAGATGCTTATACCACCACTGTATCCACAAGACTTTCCACCCACTGGCCTGTAATCTTCCTGCATTCAGCATCATTGCATGTGTTTTGTGAGTCTGAAGAAGAATTTATAGCTTGCTATCAGACATATGGTCTAATAACGGACTTATGGACTTGATCTGGACTGGGCTTGGATGTTTTCTCAATATTCAATTGCTCTTATATATAAAGCTCTTTCTTATAAACATATGAGTGTCTATGGATTTGCTTCTCTAGTCTACCCAGATGATTCAGACGAACACAGGAAGTAAATATTGAAGACAGGAGTAGGGAGGGAGCACTAGAACAGATTGTTATTCACAACTCATTTTAAAGGCGATTTAACCATGGGGTGGGGGTGCTGTACAATTGATGTTGGGGTGATTGTACAATTCTCCTTGATATGATTGAATGATTGAACTATTGAATTGTATGATATGTAAATTATGTGCCAATAAAACTGTTGGAAATATATATATAAAAGAAAGAAAGAACTAGGCTCCAGGAGGGACCTGGCATCAGAGATGGTGCATCTGTCACCTGGTTATGGGGTCTCTCTATCTGTGGTGACTAGGAGATTCAGCAACAGGTGGGGACTCTACGGTGGCAAATCCTAGAGAAAGAAAGAGAACTTAAAGAAAACAATGACACAAAAATGGTAAAGGATAAATATGTTACCAAGGGAACAGTAACCCCCTGGAAAAATTAAATGGGTGTCAGATCCTCTAGACCAGTGGTTCTCAACCTGTAGGTCGAGACCCCATTGGGGGTCGAACGACCCTTTCACAGGGGCCGCCTAATTCATAACAGTAGCAAAGAAAGCAGCATATGAAGTAGCAACAAAAATAATTTTATGGTTGGGGGTCACCACAACATGAGGAACTGTATTAAAGGGTCGCGGCATTAGGAAGGTTGAGAACCACTGCTCTAGACCCCTAAATCTAAAGAGGTCAGACAAGAGACCAGGGGTTTAATACACTCTGAAAGGAAAACAGGAAATTGGAAAAGTGTGCTGGCAAAGAGTCAGTAGGACTACTCTTTAAAAAATCTGCACCTTTTTGGAGAAGACCTTCTGGTTAGGAGAAGATGGAAGGTTCTTTGTAATCAGGGGTGGCTGCAGTACGCCTCACTGGATGCTGTGCACTGGCCTGGTAGTTGGGTTTTGTGTCAACTTGGTTGGGCCTGGATTCTACCATGAGGTGATCTATCTTAGTTTGGTCAACTCCATGGTGGGACCGTCTGTGGAATCGCCAAGTAGTTGTTGGCAGAATAGGATGGATTACCACATTCTTCATCTGGTCACAGCCTTGATACAGTCAAGGGGAAGTTTCTCTCAGGGTGTGGACAGACACTGTTGGGAAAGTAACTCACTTCTGCTGGGTCTGCATCCTGCATCTGGTTTGCTGATCTCCTGTCACAACACCTGCTGATCCCAGGAACCATGCAGTGACTGCTGACCTTGGATTCATTCATTCACTTCTGCATCCACCTGTGGTCTTCTTGCTTCATCTTCCTGCTTTCTGGTTCCTTGGCCCCTGTATGTATATGGTCAGGGAAGACCTCCAGCTTGCCATCCGACCCATAGGCTTGAACCAGCCTGGACTTAACCTATTTCTACAACTGTGTGAGCCATTTCTTGGTATAAAGCTCTTTCTATATACTTACACACATAAGCCTTGCTGGTTTTGCTTCTCTAGAGAACCCAGGCTAACACATCCAGAAAATAAATCTGGTGACTATAATGCCATTTTATAATTGGATTTGTGTTGTAGTAGAAGTAACAAATAGGGTGGAAAAAGTATGTGGATGTTTATGGTATGGCAAAAAAAAGGATTGAGATTTTCTTTTTAGTTGTAAAAATTCTTTCTAAAGATGCTTAATCCCCTTGAAGTGTGATTAATTCCTAGCAAGGTTAAGAGAGAGGAGCCTTGTTGGTGAAGTGGTTAAGTGTTGGGCTGCTAACTGCAGGGTCAGCAGTGCAAAACCACCAGTTGCTCTGAGGAAAAAAGCTGGGGTTTCTACTCCCATAAAGAGTTAGTCTCAGAAACTCACAAGGGCAGTTCTACCCTGACTTTGTCACTGTGAGCCAGCATCAACTTGATAGCAGTGGATTTGGTTCAGAATTTTAAGATTGAGAACTGTCAGCCTCCCCTGACTCTTTGCCAGTCTTCCCAGAAGACCAAAGAGACAGACTGAGCAAGGGGCAGTTGGAGCTTGGAGTAAGTGTGGTCTAGCCCTCCCTCACTTGCAGTGGGACACAATTTAGTTCCAGTTTTCCCTTGGTGGTAGACCCTTTCAGAGGGCTGTTGGTACCAGCAGCTGAAGGGCTGCCACACAAGATGTGGGCACACTGACCTTTTTGTGCTTCCGATCTTACCAACTGGAAATGGAACTTCACAGCCTTTTTCATTGATACTTTTGCTATCCCTGAAC